ACACAAGATATAGGAATTTTTGTAATAACATACTCAAGAAGGTAAAACATGAATATGAAAAGACGGAACTTCGTAAGGCTAAATGTAACAGCAAAAAACTGTGGGAAATAATAAAAAATATAACTCACACAACTAAAATCAAAGCTTCAGCTAGAGAACTTCTTTCTAATGATCCTATGAAGTCGATTAATGATATAAATGAATATTTTGTAAACATAGGAAAGAATATATCTGAGTCTATTCAAAACCGCTCCTCAAACTTATCCCTGGGCTCACCAGATATATCACCTAGTAATTCATTTGTATTACTTCCAGTGGACTATTCGGAAATCGAAACAAATATATCAAGGCTTAAAATAACTGCGTAGGACGGGACAATATTTCAGGTTTTCTTATAAAACGATACAAAAATATTCTTACACCTGTACTTACATATATTTGTAATCTATCTCTAAATAATGGAGTATTTGCTCATGAATTCAAACGTTCAATGATTCACCCTATTTATAAGAGTGGTAATAGGGACTGTGTTAATAATTATCGGCCCATTTCTCTACTGCCAGCATTTTCGAAAATTTTGGAAAAAGTCGTAAATAATAGACTAGTCAGGTATGTTGAATCCAAAAATCTCCTATCACATGCACATTTTGGTTTCAGAAATGGCAAAGCTACAAGTCGTGAGTTTTTGGGTTATACTGTTAAACATATGGACGACAACAAAAAAGTAATAGCAGTATTTCTTATTTATTTCTCTCTAGCTAGGGCATTTGACACGGTCTCTATTCCACTATTAATTCACAAATTATACAAGCTGGGAGTCAGAGGATCGCAATTGAAATTCTTTGAAAGTTATCTCACTAACCGATAGCAATGTGTTAAAATAGAAAATTGGATTAGTGATGATCTTCCCGTTTCTCATAGCGTACCACAAGGTAGTATTTTAGGTCCTACCCTGTATTTGACTTATATAAACAACATGTGCCGGTTAAAATTGATAAATGGAACTCTTGTTTCTTATGCCGATGATACTGCGCTTTTATTCAGCGGTGATACATGGGACGAAGCATATTTGTACGCCCAAAAAGGCCTCAATGTAATTATGAACTGGCTAACACATAATAAATTAATGCTAAATGTCTCTAAAACTAAATATAGGTCATTCACATTTATAAAACTTAACACACCTATTTCACCTAATTTCCATATAAAAACACATATCTGTCATAATTATAATAATGTTATTGACTGTTCTTGTCCTTCGCTCCAAAAATTAAATGAAATATAGTATTTAGGTATAATAATTGACAGCAATCTGAATTTTCAAGCACACATTAATCTTCTAACTAATAGGTTGCGCAAGTTGATCTATATTTTAAAAAAATCTTCGAGATGTGGCAGACGAAACAATAATAAAATCAACTTACTTCTCACTTTGCCAATCATTGATAACCCATTGTATAATAGCTTGGGGTGGTACCTCTAAATCACATCTACTCAAATTAGAACGTGCCCAAAGAGCACTTCTTAAGGTGAGTCATTTCTTTCCGTTTTTCTATTCCACTAAAGACCTATACCAAAGCTGTAAAGTTCTTACAGTCCCCCAATTATTTATCCTCCACACTATTTTAAAACAACATTCTCTGTTATATTACAATCCTTCTCTTCTTACAAATAAAAGAAATAAAAGTAAAATTTGTCCCATTTTACCCAAAGAAGCTTTACACATAATTTCTTCTGCTTCTTGGGTTCTCATCTATATAATAAAATTAATTCCATTCTATCTATATACAAATTTCCCAAATTTAAATGCAAAAAAGATGGTAACCCTATGGTTACTAAGTCAAGATTATGAAACGACTAAGGAACTACTTAAAATCATGAAATAAAACCTAAACGCTAAACACAAGCACATACACACCGACGTACACGCACACACACACACACACACACACACACACACACACACACACACACACACACACAAAATTTCGTATTTTTTATATTTTTTTCTGTTGTTGATTGCACCCTCATCTCCCGTCTAACAGCCATGAGATTAAGAGTGTGATCGGAGAGTTTTTGTGTTCTTCTGCGGCGGGTCTTGCAAAACTTAGCTCCGACCGCATGGACAGTTTCCACGAGCTTGTCATTCATATCGTCCACTGCATTGCAATCTTCTAGGCACTGAAAGCGGTTACGTAACTCGAGCTGAAAAGTCTCGGGATTCTGGATTAGAGCACGAGGGGGACGGATCGTTGACTTCATTAGACAAGACCTCTCCAACTTGTTTGGGTTCAGTGTGCCTCTAACCATTCGGTGATCGCTGCCAGTTTTCACCCTTACGATCACTGAGACATCACTGAATAGTTGGCGTCTGGTCGTCATAATGAAGTCAATCTCATTTTTTGTCGAACCGTCGGGGCTCGACCAGGTCCACTTCCTGTGGGGCCGCTTCTGGAAGAAAGAGTTCATCATAAAGAGTCCCTCTTTCTCCATAAAGTCGGCCAGCTGCTGGCCCCTTCGATTCCGTTGCCCTACTCCAAATTTCCCTAACTTCAGCTCACCTTTTTCTCTTGTGCCTAGTTTTGCATTGAGTCTCCCATCAACACCGTGTAGTGGGTTTGGAGAAATGCATGGCTCTTGAAATATCCTCAACATTTCCTCCACCTCCTCATCGGGATGTGCCGAGGTTGGTGCGTAAACCTTTATGACCTTCAGCGAATACCGTTTGGTGATTCTGAGTATCAGGTACGCGACCCTCGTCGACACACTCCCAATCTTTACAACGTTGTTGACGAGAGACTTGTGGACGATAAATCCGACACCTCCTTGGGAGAGATGGTCGCCCTCCCGGTGATAGAACAAGTTGCCGGATTCGAGGATTACCGTGTCCTCCCCCTCTCTTCGGACCCCGGATAATCCAATAATATGCCAGCGCAACTTGTCTACCTCTTCTTCCAGCTCCAGTATCTTCTCGTCAGTCCTCAGGGTGCGTGCGTTATATGTTGCCAGGTCGAGTCGTCGTAGGTGGCAACCGAACCTCCACCGGAGATTTTTAGCACCCCCTGCCCCGCCGTTACCATGGTCGTCACCGTAGCCAGGAATAGCGGGGCCGCCGGGGACTGGGGGCCGTTTATTTGCGTCGTTACTCATGGGGGGATATTTGCCATAGTTGCCACGCTTGGCGAGCGGACAATAGACAACAGTGCATTTTTATTAAATACATTAAAAAAATGTAAAATGGTAGCAGGCTAAATTCAAGCAAATCAGTAATATATGTATATTCAAATTAGTTGGGTTTACAATACTAGTGACTTATTTGTCTTTTTAAAGATTTGGTCTTGATATAGTGAGCTTTTGTTTTGTAGTTAAAAATAATTCGTTTGATTCCTTTCTTTATCGTGAGTGACACATGGCCTTGGTTTGAATCCTCAAAGAAGACAAAGGAATGGATTTGTTACGAATTTACTTGTGGTCATAATAGATGCCAACCTTGTAGCTATATATACTGTATGTCATTAATCTTAAACCAAATAAAGAGAGCACACAACGAAGGCCAGAGGAGTAGTGGTTAGTTAAAATATCAATGGTTAAATACCTATGACGTAGGACGTTAATGAAAAATAACAAACAGTATGTTTATTTAAATATGATAGATAAAACTTTCGAATTATATATATAAAAAAATCAATTACTGTCTGTTATTCTAGCAAAAATCTTGAAAATGGCTGGATGGATTTTCTGATCTGAATTCCTGAGCAACAAAAGTGATTCATCTCACTTTTGTTGCTCAGGAATTGTTTTATATTTCACCTAGAGCAACGACGTTATTTGATGATGTTGCGGTCTTAAAGAGCAGATGTTTGGTACTGCGGTCGCAAATTCGTTTGCCCAGTGGCGTTTAATTCTATATTTTTTTCTTATTATAACCTTTAACAAAACTTAAACAACATTTTGTTCGGGCTTAAACTATGGTTTAAGCAATTTAATAGGATTTGGACAAAATTAAAAATATTATTGATAGTTTCAAACTGAGACTATTAATAAGCCACGTTTTATAATAAGATCGAGGGAGTTTTATCGGAAACTTGACCGCCATGAAATTACTGCTCATGTAATAATTTTGGACTCGATTTCGGTACATGTTAAACATTAACCTGTACGCTCGACAGTGGTACAAATAGAAAAATGAAAACGATGTGAATATAAATCGCAAGTGCTCCGATGGGAATACAAAATGGAAGTCTTTTATCGGCTTAGTATGCCTTGAAATATGTAATATCTCATCAAATGCTGTCGTCGCCTATCTTCCAATTACTTTGAAACGTGACGCATTTGTGAAGAATTTTGCGAGTATAAAACACAATAGCCTATATAGTATTTGATAACAGACTGTCTAAATTGGTGTATCGTAACAATTGATTAACTTAGAACTATTAAGATTAAATTCATCCATATTGTTATATATAAATTCCATAAAAATTCCATTGCTGAACATAGACCTCCATCATAGATTAATTCATGGGGACATTTGCCATAGTTGCCACACTTTTGCATAGTTCGCAGGCAGGTTGGCAATCGCAGATTTTTATTATTATTAGTCGTTATCAAGAAGATAAGATAGATAGATAAGATAAATAGATAGATACCACTTTATTGCACGCCAAAAAACATAAATATTAACAAAAAAAGGAGAGAAAGAAATGTGGTACAATGGGCGGTCTTATTGCCAAGAGCGATCACTTCCAGACAACATTTAAATGGATAAGATTGCAAGAAAACAATAAAAACATATGTGTGGTTTGGCGACAGTAACAACATGCTGCTGCTCCCTGTTTACTTTCCTCTAAATCCTCTTACGATACCCATACGATTGTATGGGGTATTGATATATTATCTTGCGCCGCAATTAAACGACGAATTAATAAGTTTTTGTAATATGCCGTAGTTACAGAAGCGGAAATTATTTCGGTACAGAACAGCGATATTTCGAATGTACTTACGTTCTTGCCAGTTGAATCGAGATATCCAAAACCAGTTCGCCGACACTCGCAAAGTCTTCTGGTTTCCAGTCACCCTTCGGCTGGGCCACAACTGTGTAAAAATAATAAAGCGTTACATGAGGCGATTATTTCCCATATTTAAATGTTCTTACTTTTTGTTTTATTACGTTATACAAGTCAAAATATTTATTTATTTATGACTTAATGCCATAGGGCATTCTCTCCCAGTCAACCATTAGGCTAAACAGAGATAGACATTATGGAGGCGGTGCAGCAATAATCAAATAGAGAGGATAAAAAATAATATATATATATAAATATATATATATATATATATATATATATATACATACACAATAAGTTCGTAAAATATTACCTATGTCAGAAAAAATATGAAATTTAAACGAAAAAAAATTACATAAAGATATACTGGTTTATACGCCAATATTTATATTACACGGTAGTACACTCCCTTTTTTAAATAAATAAATAGTTAAAATCACATTAAAATAAATAAAGAATACAATGGCACTCATACAATGATAGACTTGCGTCATTAATGGCACTAGAGAAGAGAATCCATCACACGTTTCGTTCCATGGTTTTTGTAAAAGCCCGCTTTGAACAATATTTGAAAGATTATGTTTTATCGAGGACAATTTAATTTAAAGTAAATGTAAAAGAAAAGAAATATATAGTGGTAGGTTTATGTATAATATTAAAAAGAACATAATTTTCTTTAAAAGATTTACACAACCTATCATATAAATATCTGTAAATAATTAGATGTTTTTACATAACTACGCAAATACTGTTAAACGGTAATTGTAATTTAGAACACAGACACATTTTTACCACGGGTAAATTACATTCTATTCCAACGTGGACGGAATCACGAGTCAAACAAATTGAAAATAGAGGTAAACCTGCTCTCGCAGTATATTCTGCGAGAGTATACGTAGAGTTATTGTCAAAATTAAAAAAAAAAAACATATAATAAAAACAACAACTATGTGAACATGACTAGCATTAACGATAGCCGCTCTAACTAACGTCATGCGCACTATGCCAGTAGATGTAGGGAACAAACACTAGCAAAACATATATTATTATGATGTTAGTTAATTAGTGTACTTCAATGCTGAGCGTAAGGGGAAGCTTAACATCGTTCAGCTGGCTATGGAGATGGCTATGCTGAGGGTTTCTTTGTGTGATGGATATACTTGTAATGAAGATATCCGCTGTGAAACAGGTGAAATGACAAAGTCCAAACAGCCGTTTTAGGTTCCTCCCATATGGAGTGACAACCTTGTAAGATATATGCAGTATCTCGGTAGGTGCTAGTGGTGTAGAAAAGTACTTGTAAGAGCACATATTAAGCAGTGGATTTGTGATATACTGCAATGATTATTAAGGTAACTGCGCTGAAAATGCTTGGGCTGGGAGCATAGACGGGTATTAGGCGTAGGCAATTTCCCCATGAAAAAAAAAACTACACATACAACTACCAAACCACTCACAAATGTACCTAATCCGACAGCCATATCTCTCAACTCAACTCTGATTACTATGCAACATTTTTTTACATAACTGCTCCAAAATCACAATGTGATATGTATCGATATCTGCTCCTTTATGACCTCGTTTAGTCGAACCGGCTTGTCAAATTTTGAAGTGTGAGGCATTATTATAATAAATGACTCCTTGCCCGGAGTTTCGAAGGCTATTTTTAATTATAATATAAGTATATAATTATAGTTTAGATGGATCATTAGGTGTCTATTTAAAGTTCATACTAATAAACGTTTATCAGATTATTAATTATAGATCATTGTAATCGTGTTCGTCGATTTTTAGCCGGTATTATTTTATCGTTTTGGTCCCAGAATTTCGTCTTTATTAAATGTTATATGAAAGGTACTTTTGATGATACAGACATGTTTCGTTCTATTTTAACCCATTTCTTTATACAAGCGGAACATGTTGATTAAGCGTCTATATTTTCTCACACACGCGTTACTTCGAGCATGTTTTCTTACGCCATTATCATTTCTTGCGAAACTTCCCACATTGGTGCGAAAGTATGATGGAATGAAAGTTAATTTTATTCGTTTTAAGTATCATTCTTATTTATTGTTAGTAAGCAGGAAAGAATAAATGCAAAATTTACTCAAAAAGAATACAAACCTTTCCAACACAACAATTATAGAACAATTTTTGTTGTATTGTATTTTCTGCAATTGAAAAGTAAATTGTGACTTGTTTTCTTTTTGAATTAAAAGTTCACATTTTCGCAAAAAAAGCGATAGCAACCCATCACACACCGAACGAACCTAACCAAAAATATGGTAAAGTAAAAATCTTACCAATCATGAATTTTTAAAACAGAAGATTCATGTCATTATATTACTTAAAACTATATTGCACAAAACAACTTATAAACTCACTTAAAACAAACAAAAAATAACAAAATGGCGGACCCTGGCCGAAAACTATTCACCCTCTAGCGCTTTTCTCCAAACGCACCCAATGTCCACTGCTCTGCCTGGTTTTAATACATATTTGACTGATACACTTTCAAAACTAAAACATTAAATCACTGACCTCTATATATACAAGTACACTGGACTGGCTATACACCGTGACATGATGAAGCGATTTGATTTCCGCCATTTTGGCGCTGACAGCAGAAGTGCACGTCCACGGAACTAATAATAGGGATAATACAGTGTACCAAATTATATCGATAAAAATTCTATACCCTACCTATACCTAAATAAATAGAATGGACTCTATGGATAGATGGACTCTACCCGTAACATCCATTCTATTTATGTCTCTTATCCTATCATTCATCAACATTAAAACCCTTCACAAGTCCACTGCTGAACATAGGCCTCCCCCAAGGAATGCCACAAAGCACGGTCCTGAGCTACCTGCATCCATCAACTTCCTGCATGTCTTACCAGGTTTTGACTCCATCTAGTGGGGGAACGTCCTACACTTCACCTGCCGGTACGAGGCTGCCACTCGAGAACCTTTTTCCCCATCGGTATTCCATTCTTAGAGCTATATGACCGGTCAATTGCCACTTCAGCTTACTAATCCATCCTAATTATGCAATATAACTGTTTCACATTTTTAACGATATTTCCACAATTATTTCCTCTGCGGCAGCAATGCGTCGTCCGGGTACGAGCTAGCAAGATAATATTAAAAAAAATATATAAACTTTGAATTACATAGTTATCAGTTATTTACAACGTCATTTTCGAAATAAAAACACGATAATAAAAAAATAACTGAAATTATCATTCAGTCCAACTTTCCGTGGTATCGTCCCAAGAATGCTGGCTACGTGTCCTCTCTGAATGGCTATACTTAGCCTTCAAGCGAGGAAGCAACAAACTAAACAACTTCTTATTACCAGCAGCGATGATCAGTCGCAGATACATTTTTTTAGGAACTACACCACACGTGCACCCTACGGACCAATAGTCTCTACAGCAACTAGCACAAATATCTACTCATGCTATTACATGCCTGCAATTGAGAAAGAATTAAATCTCTAGATCGCACTTACTAAAACCCCATGGTGTTCTACCTCCGCCGCAAATTGGCAGGGCCACAGAAACGCTTTCATGCACATCCGCGGCCCCTCTGGCGCCAGCCGCCCAATGGCAGACCCTCCTTAGTTGCTGACTTCTTCTTCCCGCTTTCATTCTCAGATAAAGCGCACCAGAAACACAAGCCACACTGCTCTTCGCGGCTTCTAACTCCACCTGCACTACGGACTCCCCGAGCCCGATATATGAATGGAGCCAGGGAAAAACGAGCACTTGGAAGCATCAAGGGGTGCAGCCTCACCAAAGTCACGAAAGATAGTCGAGTGGCGCATCGCCAATCGCCATACTAACACTCCTCTTCCCTTACTACTCCGCCTCAACTATAACGATATAGGGAGAGGAATCACCTCTAGCCACAGCCCACTAACTCACATCCAACGTGGCTCGACATCAACAGGCGACCTTTCGACACTTGGCTTTGAAAGAAGAAATAAAAAAACATTCTAAATAATAACCTAATACTTTTATACTTACTGGTACCGGTACTACCAGTAAATATTGTCGGTATACTGCACTTTTTCAAAGTGATGCAGTTCTCATGTCTAATAAAATAGTCGTCTGTGAAATGTTTGTAACAAATATGATCATTTTGTTTCGGACACTAATTCACGATATTTATGCTTTTAAGCCATAATTTTAGTCTAGGTTCAGTTGGAAACCTGTTAATTAATAAACATATGATAATCATCTGGTGTTGGCGACTTTCTTTGTTAACAGATATTGGTAGGAAAGAACATCGATAAGTATTGTAGACAAGGAACTCGACAACCCTATTGAATTTTATTGTTTATCAAAACTCAGTAATATACACCCAAACATGTTGGTATAAATGATATTAAGATTAGTAACAAATTTCTAAGTACTTATATTATCAAATAGTTTTAATTTGTTTAATATTTGCTGCAAATTCACTTACTTGTGAAATGTTATACCACTTCCCTTTTGGTAACGAGTTTTACAGATTACGCACACTCTCATTATTAATAAAAATATTCTTATTATGTAACTAATATTATACACAAACAACATAAAATACTTTCGTTTTTTAGTTTAAAAGTTCAAGATACAGACTTATTAAAAAAGACAATATAAATAAGACAACAGACTTTGGCATATTATGTCAATTTTATTTTTCAAGACATCCTTTAGCGGCGCTTCAAATTGGCACAGTCATTTTGTATGGTATAGCCAATCCAGCGTACTTTATATAGAGGTCAGTGCATTAAACAGAAAAAAAAATATCCCGATGGATGTATAACAATTAGCTGATATTAAATAAAAAATGTTTTTGAGTAAATCAATTAAATGTAACTTACGAATCCTGTTCCTCGCTTCAAGGTACGCCTGGTTGATAGCTTCATAAGTAATGCAGGTGTGTTGGCCTTCATAACCACTGAAACAAAACAAAATAAACAAAATTTTAACTTATGTCACTTTTGAATGAAATAGCTTAATAGTTCAGAGAAATTATTGTAAAGATTATATATGGTATAGCTTATTTGTTTGTGTATTTTAGATCTGGTATAGTCGAAAAATGATAACTGATTCAACTCGGCTGGGAGATTACGATACATCTTCTCTTCAAGAATTATAAAGTGTTCAAATAGTGTGTATTACTAGTGTTGATGTCTGGAACTGAGACGTGGTCCTTAATTGTTAAGAATGAAGAAGTTTAAGGTCGCAAAAAGGGCTATGGAAAAAGTTGTGCTCAGAGTTTTTCTGCGTCAAGGAATAAATATTATAGTATAGTAAAGGTAGCCAGCAACCATTATTAATTTAAGGCTGTAACTGTCCACGTCTTCTTATCTTGTAATTGTCTACATTAGTAGATTTTTATAATGAGGCAATCAATTATGATTGCCTCATTATAAAAATTCAATACCTGTTATTAAATAATATCTCTAAGGAATTTTTCAATCATCAAATAAAAGCTATTCATAATATAAAATACAACAAACAAGAAAAAAAACTGCGTAACGATGGTGTATTAAAATCGTAATTTTTTCACTTTTAGATATTGGATATCTCTGTTATTTAATGTCATAGAACTTTAATATGACAAGTTGTTTACGTTTTAAAAGCGTAAGTATAGTGTTAACAAATTAATATAATTTAGTGAAAATTAAGTATTCCGGCAGTGGAATCACCTGATTTGAATTTTTTTACATTAATTTCAAATTAAACAGATGTTATAAGATTTTTGATTGATCTTCAATGCGATCATTTTTGGTTATAAAGGTGTTATTATTTCAGTCGTAGTTAAATCTCGAAAACTTAGTGTAAATGTTTTCTTTGACATATAGAAATGAGGTGTTGTCCTTCAATGTTGGCCGTATGAGGAAGCTTAAGGTAGAACAAGCTATGAAGAGGACTATGCTCTGAGTTTCTCTGCGTGATGGAATCCTTAATGACGATATCGAAAACCGAAATTGACATAGCCATAGTCGCATCGGATTAAAGAAGGAAGAAAGCAGAACCTTATATATGTAAATAAAGATGTCCTTTCTGGATTTAGCCCGTGTAATATGTTTCCCAATATTTTTCACCTTCATCATAAAAGTCAAGGTCTGAATACCTTTCTGTAAACTGGCACAGTATACCATTTAGGAAAATTAGAATAACCGCTGCCGAAAATAAATTTATGCGACTCGTTTATTTGCAGATGTCTAGGTCTATTGGTTGAATGATTATTTAACTTTCTTCACCATTTAAAGTCCAATGAGAAGCAAATATTTGTTTAAGGTTAACGACTGCTTAACTTTTGTTGACTTTCTATCAGATTTCTTTTTATTTATTGCGTTATTCCAAAATATGGTAGCAAAAAAAATATTAATAGAATCAACTGCAACCTTCTGTTTTTTATACGACAGCAAAATAATGTAATATGTGTTTCACTGTATTCTATCTCTTTATATAGATATTATAAAACCTGCTAAAGATTTCTACAAGTGAATTTTTTCGCAACCATTAATAAAATAGCTCTAATTAATATTCAAAAAACACGATATACATATTTTTTATTTTTAAGGAGAGTCAACGTTCTCCTGCAGCTGGGATCGATATTCAATTCACGCCTCTTTTTTTTATTCAAATAATCATCTCGCTTATATAAATTATTGTCATGTACATAAATTAAAAGTCATCTTCAAGTGAAAATAAGATAATTTAGTTATGATAATTAACTGGTTTTAAATGTGTTAAATACTTGCAATAAGGTATTTTTAAAATTCAAATAACGATTGAAACTTAATACATAATGCAGCTTCCAAAAAAGCTACGGATTGTTGAATAAATATGTGGTTTTATTAATTTTATTTATTTATCAAGAAATTAATCATTTTGTAAAGTAATACTCTCCGAATTATTTTAAGTGTTATGCCGCCCGACGTTGCCATCTTTATTGTGAAAATTTCTTGTTTGGATAGATTTCGATAGTCATTTAACATCAGGCGAGATGGGATTAAAGTTATTTTGACCATATGTGACCACTACAAACAAACTATACATACGAGTATTTGATGGTCCGACGGTTGCAGTCGTGAACAAGTTCGTCTGCGATGCGGCGGGGCTGCGCTTGTTAAAATCTCTTTTTTTCCTTTTATTTAAAAAACCGTTACCACTAGGGTTTTCTCCTGTATCATGGTTTACATACATATATTTCACAAGGTACAACGTACAGATCAGAAATAACTTTATTTATAGGCCATACAAATAATTGTTCCGTGTGGAATTCGAACCCGCAGGCCGCAGCACTGCAACTCATTGCTAAGCCACTGCGCCACGGAGCTGTCCCGTACGGAACACGTGTTTGTATGGCCTACAAATAATTGTTCCGAGTCTGAATGTTTGCCTACGTGTGGGTAAAGTTGTTTTTTTTTTAAATAGCCTTATATTCATTTGTTATTTGAAAAAGTTATTGACCTGTGAATTTGTGTTAATTATAAAAGGGATCATCATCTTGGTTTCATATTAGGGACTCTTAATTTCTTATTTGTCTTAAGAACAACATGAAACTTATTCTAAATTTCTCTTTTACATAAAAATAAAAACTACTAATGTTGAATATGACCAGGAAGATGAAATCCAAACCGGAATTCAAACACATACGTGTAATACGGGCAGGGTGTGACCAATGCAATAGAAAGTGGAAGAACCGATATTTCGACTCGATTCGTTGTTTGAATTTCTACAATATGTCAACAAAAGTAGACGTCCCCGTTACTGCTAGATAGTAACGGTACTATAGATTATGTTGTCGTAGGCATTACATTTGTGTCTACAACTGTACTGAGTCTTATTGTGACTGTGCGGTCATGTGCAGTGGACGGACGATATCTGAGAGGGTCAGGCCGTTAGCTAAGCACCTAACCACTGTATTAAATATCTAAGTCACAAGTATGGCGTACGAGGTGCAGACACTTAAATTTAAGCTGTTGTTAACCTTAAAGTGCTTGTGGATATACATAAAATAATAAATAGGGTTTAAATAAATATTTATTCTATTATTTATTTGCTCAGGCGTTGGCGGTAATGATGTTGTGTTGGATTTTCGTTTCTTTGAAGCAATGAAAATAGTAAAATCCATTAAATTTGTAAGATAAATCACGGCACAATTTCTTCATTTGTACAGACATCATTCTAAAGATAAGAAATAAATAGTTAAGAGCTTTGACAGAAACATAAGTCATATGTTGGGATCATTTGTAAAATGATGTATACAGGCAATAGTTACGTATCAATTAAGATTCTTAAAATAAAATGTAAAAGAAACTTGAAAAACTATGTTTAAGCATCTTGTCCATTACTGCAATATAATATAATATAGATAGCGGTGTACCAGACGACTGGTAAGATAAGCGAAAGGATTTGAAAGTGAATGCGGTCAACCTGTTCCGATCGTTGCCTAATGTAATGCGTGAGAGATGAAAGCATTGTTGATAACTAGATGTTACGAGAGTTAGGTAACACTGACACGGGGTCAAGCACCAACGAGAAGTGCTATAGAATATATTAACGTTATAATAACATTTTAATACGAGAAGAAATTTAAAAGACTTATTAAATGAAAATAAAGTCTACGCTCGATCTTTTTAATTACTTAAATCAAAATATCGATTGAAATTGTAGGGGAGTGAACGTAATCATTTTTATTAAAAATATACTTACTACTTAATTTAACTAGCAATGCTTTTAAAATTACTATTATTACCGTTAATCATTCGAAGTGAGTAGTTCATGACAGTAGTCGAACGGCGGATTCGAACATACGACTTTTAAGTTTCACAACTACCATGCCGTTAACCATCAGACTACTGGCATTACAATACAATACAATACCCTTTATTGCACACAAAATAATACAAAGAACAACAAACTTAAATTGATAAATTTATGTACAATTAGGTGGCCTTATCGCTAAACAGCGATCTCTTCCAGGCAAACCTCGGTGAAGGAGATCTTTTACATGTAAAAATATAGAAGTGTGCATAAATAGTAGATAAAAAATAATACACAACACATAACATATATATATATATATATATATACATAATCATACACATATATACATATTTGGTATTAATTTCATACTTTAAAAAATACTAATATTATTTTTGTCTTGTTACCTCTATGTCTATTAATATAGGGCCCGCCATCTAACTTTTTTTTCAACTAGTGCTTATTTCGTGAATGGCAACACTTAGCTCATGTCTAATTTGACAGATAATTAGTTTTATCCTTCCGCTGAATGAATATGGTTGTGTATACGCTTGAACAACGCTGACAAATATTGCGACATTACTTTGAAAATCATGGTAATGTTGCAGAATGTGTGCGAAAATTGCGTACGGATTTTGGAAGAAATGAAGCACCGTCAGCTCCGTATGTTCGTTACCTTGTAAAAAAAGTGAAAGAAACTGGCATCCTCATCGATAAACCAACGCGTGAAAAGCCAAAAACAGTGCGTACACCCGAGAATATTGCTGCTGTGGCCGAAAGTGTGCGTGAAACGCCATCAACATCAGTTCACCGTCGTTCTCAACAATTGGACATTTCGGAGACATCATTGAGATGAATTTTGCGTAAAGACCTTGGTATGACGCCGTACAAAATCCAATTGCTTCACGAGTTGAAGCCAACTGACCATCCAATGCGTTTTCGCTTCGCTAAGTAGGCCTGCGATCGACTTGCAGAAGATGCGGATTTTGCCAAAAAAATCATCTTTTCAGATGAAGCTCATTTCGAACTTGGCGGGTATGTAAACAAGCAGAATTGTCGCATTTGGGGCACAGAAAACCCGCACGCATTCATCGAAAAGCCGGTGCACCCAAAACGAGTCACTATTTGGTGCGGAGTTTGGTCCAGAGGCATAATTGGGCCATTTTTCTTCGAAAATGAGCAAGGTGTGGCCGTTACTGTCAATGGCGATCGTTATTGGGCCATGTTGAACAAATTTTTGTTCACAGAAATTGAAGAGGAGGATATTGGCAACATTTGGTTTCAACAGGACGGCGCAACGTGCCACACAGCCGACGCTACACTTGATGTTTTGCGCCCTGTTTTTGAAAATCGCATTATCAGCCGCAGAGCTGATGTCGTTTGGCCACCTCGGAGCTGCGATTTGACACCGTTGGACTATTATTTGTGGGGTGCCGTCAAAGATAAGTGTTACGCCGACAAGCCAGAGACAATTGACGCTTTAAAGGACAATATTCGTGAAGCCATTGGTGAAATACAGCTGCACACAATCGATAATGTACTCAAAAATTGGACCGATCGTGTAGGCTACTGCATGGCCAGCCGAGGCAGCCATTTGAATGAAATTATTTTCCATCATTAACCGGAAAGATTGTACTTTCAAATAAAAAAAGAAATTTGAAAAATATTTCGTAGTTTTTTTTAATAGCATTTTAAAAAAAAGTTATTTGGCGGACCCGCTATATTGAAATAATACTAGTTTTTACGGAATTTATCGCGTATATTTAACTTTTTAAATACCCGACGTTTCGAACGCTTTACAGCACTCATGGTTACGGGTGGGACTGAGATGTTCAACGTCCAGATGTCATAGTTAACCGCGGTTACCATAGATTAAAATTTAACTTTTGTTCCGATCTACAAAGTATGAACTTATGGTATCTTGAAGTCTTGCAGTTGTATGCTTGGATTGGGATTTAATTTTATTTATTATAAGATCCCAAGCAGATGGTAGCACCCAGCCATCTTCTCTATTAAAATTAGGATGTTTTTTGGTTTCAATAGCCTCGAGAATCATGGAAGGAATCGGTATTCTTTAGCGAGGATTTGTGGTCTATCAAATCTGATGTAGTGACGAGGGCGATCCTGTATGTGTTCACAGACTGCAGACTTCCCGGAGCGTCGATTCTTTATTGGAATGAATCCTGATAACACCTTGAGCCATACTGTGTATAGAAAAAAGACCCATACAGATAGATATTTAAACGGTGATTCTCACCACTATCCTTCACAGTTAGCTACCGTGGGTAAATCTTTGTTTCAGAGAGCACGAGGGATCTGTGACAGTAAACACCTGGCTGCCGAGCTCCACCATGTCAAGCAAGTTTTGCATGACAACAAGCTTCGGGTCCCACGCCTACGTCACAGTGAACGAGTGAAGCCGGCCACGGTCGAGCGTGTACCTGCTGTACTGCCATATGTTAGAGGAGTCACTGACAAGATTGGCTACATCTTGAAGCGCGCTTCCATCAAAACATACTTCAAGCCGCTGAAGAAGATTGGTCAGTTTTTACCATCAGTCAAGTGTAATGTCCCTCTGCAAGATGCAGGAGTGTACAAGCTTGATTGTGAATGTGGTCTCTCCTTACATAGGACAAACTAAAAGATCAATTAAAACCCGCGTTAAAGAACATATAGCTGATGTGTAGAATCGACGCTCCGGGAAGTCTGCAGTTTGTGAACACATACAGGATCGCCCCCGTCACTACATCAGATTTGATAGACCACAAATCCTCGCTAAAGAACACCGATTCCTTCCAAGGATGATTCGCGAGGCTATTGGAATCAAAAACATCCTAATTACAATAGAGAAGATGGCTGGGTGCTACCATCTGCTTGGGATCCTATAATAAATAAAATTAAATCCCAACCCAAGCATACAACTGTAAGACTTCAAGATACCATAAGTTCATACTGTGTAGATCGGAACAAAAGTTAAATTTTAATCTATGGTAACCGCGGTTAACTATGACATCTGGACGTTGAACATCTCAGTCCCGCCCGTGATCATGAGTGCTGTAAAGCGTTCCAAACGTCTGGTATTTAAAAAGTAGTATTAGTAAAAACTAGTATTATTTCAATGTGTAGTGTTCGCGTAAATATAAGAAATCATTATATATTAATAAAATTTTATAATACAATGTAATTTATTAATTTATATAATGTGTTATTGTATGCCAAATGTTATTGATAAACAGACTCAACGCAATTTTCAAGTAATACAGGGTTTGGTTCCAATGTAGATAAATAGGTGACGAAAAGTGAAAGGTTACAGATTTCTAGCACAAAGACTCTAATGACCGCGTGGAAGACATTCACGGCACGAGATGTACATTTATGTCGGTACAAGAAACGCAAAGTACATACCATTACTTTACGTAAAAGATGTACTCGTACGTTCAAAACAAGTGATGAAAAATGTTGTAATATCGACTATTGCGCATTACACTGTAATAAAACGTTTACAGAGTTGAACGAGCTTTTACGAGTAGCAAGAACAAAATAGTCATTAAAATTGGTAATGTTTGCTAAACAAAGAATAGAGATGAAGTGGTGTGTGATGTCTGTCATATTTGCGTCGGCACATAGCGTAACGGTAACGGTGGCTTTGTATACACAAGTAACTATCTAATTTACTATCTTGTTTGTAAACTTTAAGAGAACAACTGAAAGAAGAAATATAAATGCCATTAAACGCAAAATAAAATTTTGCAAATTGCTTATTTTGTTTATTTGTTTATATTTAACATAAGACAAACTTCTTTAATAAGAAGTGTTCCAAAGAACATCATATATTTTTAAGTATAAAATTTCTAAATATTTCGCGTAATTCAAGATCGCCTAAACCTTTACGCTTTATTTCTAATTCTAAGTATTGTAATTCTAAGTATTTGACGTGTTTTTTTACGCTTTGCGTGTTATCAATATCAAATGCATTATTTTCGACAATTTAAAATTTGGAACAGGTTCACAATTCATTTGCGTATTTTTTCCTTTTTGACATACAAAATGTCATAGTTGATCTTTCTTTTAGGCTTTTAATTATACAAAATTTTGGTTGCCAGCTTGAGACTCTAATACTTTTCACATAATTGCTTCTGAAATCTTAAGCTTTAATTTTAAATATTTTTTTTGGGGCGTCTGCAGAAGCGAAGTGGGAATTATTTTATTCTTTTCAGTTCTTTATAGTCGGTGTTTACCTTACTGAAATTTTAATTTACACCTTATTGAAATTTTAAATTTTGATACTTACAAGTTGCCTTTTAGTAAATTAAGACTGTAGTCGTAGGCTGATGAACGTCCGGGGCCCGTGAGGTACAACGCGCAGTCATCATCGGCGGAGATAGTGAGCGGCGCCAAACCGGCGACACACGCGCTCCACAGCAGCGCAGTCACTAGCGCCCTGTGAAATATTTAATGCGCTGAGTAAAATTCGGTTAATTAGCATCAACAGTTATGTTGACTGCCTAGTGTTAGATAGATCTTCTAGCCCTGGGAAAATTTAGTTTAATGCTAAGGATAAAAAATAAATCTTTTTATAAAAACTGTCAATCTAACACATAAAATATGGGAAGCAAAAGTAATGGTTGAAACGCATGTTATGTATGAGGTCAAAGATGAATATTGATTTGTTCAAAATTTAATAAAAGTAAAGCAAGTGTGATACGCAATTATTATATTATATGTAAAAATATATTAATTTAGTAAAACCGCGTAACTATACGGACGAAATATAACGAACATTACACAATCACTAAATGTTGGTCAATCAAGCCAAAAATTGTCTCACTTCATTTTTATCATCCAATATTTTTAGTGTTCCATTCTTTAATAATCTTCTTTATTCAGCCGGTTCTTTCAATATACCTTTTAATCTACTTATTTCCTTGTGTTATCCAATATTTTCATTTATATTTTTACGAAATTATGATGTTTGGAAGAGGTTATTTTTATTCTCTTTCTTGAAATAATTCTTTTCTTCTCTTTAGCGGCTGTTGTGTCTCGGCTTGAATTATTCTTTTTTTCCTTATTAGTATTTTCTTTCCTTCTATTTCTTATTATGTTTGTTTTTGTTTTCATTATGTTCAGAATATTTTTAATACGCGGTAGAGCCACGTTGCAGCTGTATTATGGTTGTAGCACGTATGTTTCGGCTCGACAGAGGAAGGACCACGCTCTCACAGAATTACAGCGTAAAACAGCAGCTTAATACAGCTGTGTTTCGTATGGTGAGTGTAGAGATTCAGAGACCCTTTTTTACTGGAAACGAGGCATTCCATCTTAGTCCTCAAGGGTGACAACGCATCTGCGTTTGATTCTTAATCGAGAATAAATGTAGGTGTTTATAAGCGACAGCTTCTACTACCATCAGGTGAACTGTGAGCTCGTTTATTACCCTAATTCTATAAAAAAACATCACATTTTTTTCGAATTGGTGTTCTTTCCCAATCTACATTTTCTGTTAATGATTGCTAGTACATAAAAGTGCAGGACTATTATTACAAAACTTTTCGTAGTAGGAGGACCTGTGACCTTGATATTATTTGATATCATGGAATTAATTTAATTCTTGTAAATTATGTATAACGTTTTCTAAAGCGAAGGAACTAATTTCGTCGTTTTTACTTCTTTTTCCCACATCCGTATTTTCTCACAGCCTATTCTTCTCCTATATTATTACATATTCTTATCTGTCAATTAAAACCAGTCTATTACTATAATATTCTGGTGCTTGTTGGATGGCTGATGTTTGAATTGTTGTTTGTAAATCGGTTCTATTGTTTTTTGTTTGACAGTCAGGTTGAAAGAGAGTTGACTGAACCCTCATCATATCACTTGCATTCGTTCTTTTATTCTTGAAGATGTTATTACCTGTTATTTATTTGGAAGTAAGTAAGTTTGCGGAGATGTAGATAATTTCCTCTTTGATTTTGTCCTTAGCGTGTGTTTTCCTTGACTTGAGCTTGTCGTAATTTATGTAGGCAATATTTCCTTTGCTTCTTTCTTCCATTGGTTTTTGTAGTAATGCCTTCTTCTTTTATAAAAATCTTGTAGAGTTATTATCCGTGACATATAACTATCACTTAAATTACAATAAATACATTGAATTTGAATTGTAATAAAATGTGATTTATTACGAAATATAGGACAAAATAAGTTATTTAAGTGTTTTAAAGTAAAATTTCTGTATGATTTATAGTAAAACTTCTTTAGGCGCGACTCACGGTTGTAGAGTGTAAGCGAGTTTCAAACAGAAGAAACGTTCAACCATAGTGACGAAAAGTCATCTTTCAGAAACCATGAATTGTTACTGGTATTTTTTATAATGCTTACCCATACGACACCCATGGGAAGAAATGGAGTATTAGATGCTCATATGGTGTCGTTATATGGTACAACACATGTTATAATTATCGTTTCAAATGTTTCCTATGTTCAGAAATAATTATTTATACTTATTGCACACATCACACAGATGCTCATACGGTGTCGTTATATGGTACAACACATGTTATAATTATCGTTTCAAATGTTTCTTATGTTCAGAAATAATTATTTATACTTATTGCACACATAACACAGACTTTTAATTAATCAATTTCCGTTAAGCTATTGATTTATTACTTGGTGACCTCGCTACACTAAATGTCATCGTTCAGTATCAACCTTTCACTACTGATTGTGTATGCACGATGATGTTAAGTTGACAGTGACGGTGTGTTTAAATAGTCACAGCTTACTTATCTTCTTAAATTGTATTTTATTTAAGAACGTTTTGTGAGTATTCTCTGATGCCGTGGTAGCTCGAGGGCTAAGCATTCGTTGTAAATCTCATAGTACGCGAATAACCCAGGTTTGATTTCCGCCGGCATCAATGAAATTGACATTGTGACAGGTTGACATGTGAAGTTCGCCAACACGCATTGAGGCAGCGTGGTAGACATTTTCTTGACCTAAAACCCATTCAGAAATGAGAGGAGGCCTGTGCCTAGCAATGGGACATATAAAGGTTGTAACTTTATGCGTTTTCTCTCTGTCTTTACAAAAGGAGCCTTACTTAAACTGAGCTTAACTTAAGCATTTATTTCAAAACTCCAAGATTGAAGTTTGCGTATCCATAATACTGCGTTTCAAGATCCAGATCATTGACTTTTTTTTACAAAACTAAACCGAAAAGCAAATTTTTAATCCTCTTGACGGTGATCAACCTTGGATGGCAAGGAGTTGTCACATCTGAGGGCTAAGATAGAATGCCTCATAATCTGTAATTTTACTGGCTCTTAATAATAATTATATAGACTACGGAAAAGCTCAAACAGTATCTTGAGGATATTTCAAGATAGGCTTGACAGTTCCATTCAGAGGCATTGGATCCTAATGCATGTGGGAGGGACATTCAAGTTTCTAAAATGATTGCTCCCTTTCTATAGTTATAATTTATTTTATCCTTATTTTATTATTGTATTTTTTCTACTAACATAGTTTATGTAAATTAATAACGAATGTGTATGGGTACGTAATCTGAAATAAACATTATTATTATTATTACCCTTCAGACTTGGACACAGATGTAAGCACTGCTATTTGAAGGCAGAAATAGGTAAGAGGGTTGCAGAAAAAGTTTAGTGAAACCTAGAAGTACCTAAATTTTTTGGTCAAACGTCGAAAGTAAAATAGTCTGATTCGGGCTTTGCCTAGTCGATGCTAAAAGCACCTAAGGCAAATTTCGTCAAACATCGATTCGTATTCATTTGTAGCTAACGATGGGATTCAATTAGTCCCATCTTTACACGAATTGAGTCCCAGTGGAGAGCAATCAATTTTTTTAAGAAAACAATATTATACAAATTAACATAACATTGTTTCATTTACCACAATCATAGCAGAGTTTCGAGCAACCTTACTTTGTAGATAAGATAGGTAAATCTATTCTAAAACCAAATCACCACGACCTGACTCTACGTAATCTTGTCTGCTCTAGCCCCAAGAATGTTTTTGTAAAGCCGTATTAGGCGCGGAGGGAAAGTATCTCCCACCGGCCTGTGATTTTATACGCAAGGGCGAAAGGGCATGCATTTCCTGCAGCGCTGAGTCAATATTTCTGTATAAAAAAGTGAGGTGAGAGTCTTATAATATTTAAACAATAAACATTAAAATAAAAAAATGTCCTTTTAATATACCTAATGTGACAAAATAACACATCCTAATACCTAATTGAGGAGTGTGACTGGTCAAACAGCGATTTCGTGAAATAGTGGTTAGGCATTTGACTGTCCAAATTAGTCTCCCCTAGGTTAACAAAAATTCGTTAGTTAAAGGCAGAAAAATTTCATTTATTTAGACATCGACTCAGACTTTGATTCAGGTCTAACATAAAGATGTTAGACCTGAGGTTTGACTAGTCAAACCTAGGAGCGCTGGAGCTTCGACGTTTGACTATAACTTATATGTAACTTGTTCGTCATATTTTTATATAACAAGGGTGACATATGAGTACACACTCTCCACCTAATGGTAAGTGGGTATAGACGTCTACATTTATCATCGATTAAGAATTAAAATACAGATGCGTTGTCATCCCTTAGGACATTGCCTCTAAAACTCTCACTCACCATAAAAACCCAGCATCATTAAGCTGCTATTTTACGTTGGTATTTTGTGAGAGCGTGGTCCTTCCTCGGTCGAGCCGGCCCATTCGTGTTACAACCACAATATAGCTGCAGTGTGCCTCTACCGTGTAAACGCTGGTTTATTTATTATTTATTTTAGGAAACATTACACTATTTTTTTAAATATTTTGAGGTACTTTACATAATTTTAAATAAATTTCACATGGAAAAAGTTGTGGAATATATTTAAATACGTAGTGTAAGAATATCCACTACCCCATATCATCCCGTGGGTGTCGTAAAAGGCAACAGAGGAAAACAAATCAGGAGATGAACAGCAGCGTCTTCCTTATTCCGCTTGCCAAGCGTGGCAACTATGGCATATATCCCTCCTATGAGGCAATCCATGGAGGAGGCCTATTTTCAGCAGTTTAATAGGCTGTGATGGTAACGGTAAACATTCAGACCAGAAAACATGCATATACACTAAGTGTAAGTGTATGTCTTATTCCGTGCGGGATTTAAAGCCTTGACTAACTCTTTACCACTGCGCTTCTGAGTACTATTGAGTATCGCACTTTTTTGTTGACGTAAATGTAATATTTTAAAAATAAAAATTATGGTGACCTCTGGGTGACGTGTGTATTTATGTTATGTTATAAGAATGTAAATGCTGATAAGCTTTTACCCCTCAGTAAAGCGGAATGTCTTGTTACTACTGAAAAACGTCTTTGTTTCTCGACACATGAAACACAACAGAACGCCATTACTATTCTACGATATCTTAGATTTT